GAATCAGCCAACCACACCGGTTTACTCCACACCAGCAGCACCACAACCCCAGCAGCAGCAGCAGCAGCAGTCTGGCTCACTGCCATCTATTCTCTTCTGTCTGTGTGTCTCAGCACTGACGATGACAGTAATGCAGCATTGATTTAAAGCCTTTAAATGACGCGTGGAGAGATAAATCCATAATTTCACTTTTTTTTTTCCTTCTCTCTCTCTCTCCTCCCTCTCGCAGGCCCGCACCATATGGCCTGTGCATGGTTTTCGAGCTGACTCAAACATCCTAACATTTCCACAAGCCCGTATCGAGTATCGTTTGGAGAAAGACAGACCGCGATAGTGAAAGGCTACATCAACGTACAGCCCCAAAGGCACGGATCGATAGGCGACCGTTAATGGCAGATTAGCGCACACTGGCGCACGGGGATTACAGTCTATTAATTGCGGACTAAAAGGCGCACAGAGAACAAAGAATCTGGCCTCTGATTTCCTCACACATTGTCACAGATGGCGTTAAATTGATTCTTTCGGATTGAGGAAAAAAAATTGATCACAATTTGGCCTGTTGACATCGGCGTTTGCGCATTTCGTGCCGGATCAAATTGCAAATCCCAGCCCATTTACAGCCACACACACACACACACACACACACACATCTGCGATGGATGGAGCAGGAGATCTGAGCGGGTCAGTGGGGAATGAGGAGGTGGGCTACAGTGACAAGGTCATCAGCGTCGTGGAAAATGGAAAACAATGAGCACAAACAATATGGAAGAGGAGAAGAAGAAGAAAAAAAAAATCCCACCACCTTTTGTTCGGTAAAACGCGACGCCTTCCTCCCTCCGATCGGCGCTGAGGTGCAGCAGCTCCGGCTGCTCCGACCCTTTTGTGTTGCTGATGCTGCGGGTGCCCGACACCGAGACGCACGCACCGAGTCCCGCACAGCTGCACGCGTGAGAGATGATGGAGATGGAGATGGGAGGGTGTGGCTGAGGGAGAGAGAGAGAGAGAGAGAGAGAGAGAGAGAGAGAGAGAGAGAGAGGCGCAGACAACAAGAGCTCCGGTCACGATGCCAGCACGTTACCGGAACGTAAACCGGCGCCGATCGGAGGTAATTAAAGAGACGAGGAGCTGAATGGAGACGCTGCAGCCGCCCCGAGGAAGAGGAGGAGGAGGAAGAAGAGGAGGAAGAGGAGCAGAGCTGAAGGTGTGAATCCTGCAGGGACCGTTTAGTGAGAAACGCTCGTGCAGCCCGTCAAGCAGCTCTGCTCCACATCATCCGGTCCGGTTTACAGAGGATCAGCCTGGAAGTCCAAGAGCTGATGGTTGATGTCTGGACGATATATGTGGGAAAAGAATCGCGATAAAATGTTGACTATCATTATTTATGATTTAGGTGAGCCATTTTTAGCACAGACAAGCAAGATTTTTTTTTAATTTTTTGTTGACGTTGTGGAGTTTTTTTTTTCTTTTAATATATAAACATGTAAATTCACAAGTTTTTCCTGAGTATAGTAGATATGATCTGTAATTTAACAACATAGAGAAAATCTTTAAAACATCAGCTAAAAAATAATATTCAAAACAAAATATTTGAAAATTATTTACATCATGTATTATTTATATTATATTAATTTACCTTTTTTTAAAAAAAAAAAATCTGTAGAATATTATTTTCTGCTGCTGATTTAAATACTGTAAAAAAAAAAACAAAATAAAAAATTACAGTCAAATGTGGTAAAAGAACAAATGACCAGATTTGTCATGGGGACATTATTTACAGTTTTGGCCTCTTTTTTTCCATGTGTAAATTCAAACAATTTATTAGATATTGGACATTTAATAAAATAGGTGAAACTTGTTGAATAACAGTAAAATAATTTCTTTTTAATACATTAAAAAAAAAAAAACATTAAAATTTCACAGGGTGGAGCTGGACTATATATGTGAAAGATGTATTATGACAGATTGTTTCATTTCAGGCTTAGTGATAATAATTGAACTGACCTATTTTTGAATTATTACTAGAAAAACATGTTGATATAGATTTTATGTGTAGTTTAGCCCATTTTTATTATTTTGTTTTTGTCTACATGTAAGTTAATATGTTTGTTTTTGTACATTGTTTTTAGGACAGTGTGGCGCTGGATGATGCACGTGGTAAAAACAAACAAACAAAAACACAAGCTAGATAGCTAGCTATTATCTGTCATTTAACAAAACAATAACATAAATTATAGTTGAAAAAACATTGACCATATGCTGACATTTTTGCTGATTTAAATACAATGAAACTGTAATTTGTTACATTTTGTAAAAGAACAAATTACTCTTAGTAAAAATACTGATTTTGATGTAGACATTTTGTTTTTTAAACACTTAACATGCAAATTATGGATTTGTTCTGTGATTTTACTAGTTATTATCTGTAATGAAACAAAACAGCCAACCATGGACTCGTGTGAGACCTGCGCGCCTGACTAAGGTTCTCCATTCACCGCTATGAGAGGCTGTTTGAAACAGGAGGGAGAACATGGAGCTGAACTGGTTGTCTTCATGATGTGCATCATGACAGCTTGTATGAAGTGTCTATACATAGAACTAATGTTATACCTACTTCATAGTCAGGGAGTGAGCAACAAATATTCTCTTTTATAGGCAGAAATTCAAGCAAACCTAAACAAATGTGGGGATTTTGTCAAACATGATACTAAACCATCCACTATATATAAAAATGAATGAACTTGACATGACGTCACCCACAGGTTTCCTGAACAGTGAAGCTCAGAGTGGAGGCTCCAGCCTTCACCGTCTTGGCAGAGCCTGACTTCTCCTAACGGCTGACTAATTGGCTGGTCTTTTGTTAAAGGTTGTGTCGGCCCTTTGTTGGTCATTTGGGCAGAAAGTGATCAATCCTCATGTTAGTCCAAAGCCAAGTCAAGATCTGGATGGAGCCAAGGTGCTGTGTGTAGATGATGTCATTGTGTTGACCTCATCAGACAGTGATCACACAGAAGAGTCACTGAGAGCAAAGTGTCAAAATTCTGGAAAGTTCTAACGAGAAGGAAGGAGAGCTCAAGAGTTTGGGACATTGTAACTGTGATTTGATTTGCAATATAATGTCAGTTTAGTATTAACCGTGTAATAGATTTAAATCATGTGATGGAGCATTACAACATCCATCCATTATTTATACACTGCTTAATCCTCACTGGGGTGTTGGAGTCAAGGGACACCCTGGACAGGTCACCAGTCTATCACAGGGCTACACTTAGAGACAGACAACCAAGCACACTCACATTCACACTTACAGACAAGTTAGAATCACCAATTAACCTCAACATGTTTTAGGACTGTGTGGGAGGAAGCTGGAGAACCCAGAGAGAACCCACGCTGCACAGGGAGAACATGCAAACTCCACTCATCCCTGGTGACCTTCTTGTTGTGAGGCAACAGTGCTAACCACCAAGCCACCTTGCAGTCAGCATTACAACATGAGATACTATAGAAAGTGGGACTGTCACCCACCAAGGACGGCATGAATTTGTAAAACTATTGATCCAACAGTTTAAATCCTAGATCCAATGTGCTGCATAACTGGCATCCTGAAAGGCAGCCTTTGAGAATTCCTAATTCAGTGCTTCCAAATGTCATTTTGATTTGAATAATTCAACATTAGTAAGGAATGTAAAAACTTCAAGGGTCTGCGCAGCAATGGCCAAATCTGAGGTAAATCCAGAGTACACTATAGAAAACTGTAAAAGAAACAAACAAACAAACAAACAAACAAAATGGTGAAAATCTGGCAGCAAAAGTGCCAAAAAAATTGTTAAAAAAACTAACACTATGACTTACAAAAACGAGTGTGAAAATAATGTCATTTTTTTCCCACCTGATTTGAATACATTAACACAGTCGGATGTTACAGTCACACATTGTAGAAGAATAAAATGTTGTTTGTAAAAGTACAGATTTATGGAAACTGTTTACAGTTTTGGACTGTTTTTTAGGAGTCAAAATGTAAATTATATTTTTTCTATGATATCTGTAAATACAGCAGTTTTTTTTTTAGTAATTAATATATTTTTTTCAGTCAAATGACAGCAAATATTTGTAAAACAGCAATATTTTTTGCTGATTTAAACAGTGTAAAAAATGGTGTCATTTAACAGTCAGTTGCAAAAAGAATTAATGAATTAAAATTATAATTATACTAAAAATACAGATTTTTTTATATGGACATTATTTACAGTTTTGGCCTGCTCTTTTTAAAAAATAATTAATGTGTAAATTATTACTTGTTTCTGTGATTTTACTACACATTATTTGTACTTTAACAAAACAAGGAAAATCTGAAAAATGGTTCCCTTCAGGAACGAGGTGCTGAGACTCAGAGTGTTCTGTATTCAAACACCAGGGCTCATAATCACAGCTAAAAGCCATCTGGTTGTAAATGTACCCACATTATCATATTTAAATAGGATTAGTATTATATTTGGCGCATCTCTCTCTCTTTTTTAAACCATATAGTATGTACATTTGCACATTATCAGGGGGATATTGTGCACATTCCTGCACATTCTATGCCTTTTATGACTTCAAACTGCTGTTGCTCTGCTGTTTATTTGTCTTGTAACACTTGCTGTCTACTGACTTGCAACACTTGCTGTATTTTTAAATCTTCTTATCCTTTTTTTTATTCTCTGCTTGTCAGCGTTTACTGCAATGCACCGAATCAACACATTAAAATCCTCTTATGTGAAAACCTACTTTGCAATAAAAACTGGTTCCGAGGATTTTATTTTGAAAGTCTGGCTCGCTTTTTGTTACTTTGCTCGGTTTTAAATGAGAGGAAACATTTAAGGCATTTGACACCAATTGTGATTTTTTTTTAAAAGTGCAAACATCTATTTAAAACAAAGCATGGTGCGAGGAGGCAGCGTTTTATTTTGACAGTTCTCATAGGAATTGCAGTTTTTACTCATTTTTGCGCACTTTACGCACTTAAGAACTTCAGTATGGGTACGTGGTAGGTGAAGCAGGGGTTCTTTTCTTACGTAGTGGTTAGAGTTCAACTTAGAGAAGCGGATAGGTATCAAAGAGACACCCGGGACACGAAGCATGCTCCCTCGCAGGCAGGACTACGGCATGAAGCGGGGCGCGGCGGCTCGGAGCGGCTCGCTGATAAACTTTCGGAGCGCGGTGAACTCGGGCTCGGTGCGCCGCAGCTCCGCCGTGCTGCCGTCGGTGCTAACGTTCCTGGTGATCGTAGCATCCGGAGGCCTGCTGCTCATGATCGAGAAAGGAATGCTCAACAGCATGGAGACGCCTTCACCCCGGGGTAACGGCAGGCGGCTGGACTTCATCCGGCAGGCGGGGAAGCGCAGCGCTGATGCCGCGGACGTGGAGTTGCAGGTAAAGTAAAGAAACGCACCGCTGGAGGCGAGTTTGGAGTGTGTGCGGTCTCCCGAGCCAGATTTGGTTGAGAGTCGTGCCTGCGTATAAACTTATGTCGCAACAGTTGCAGATCTGCCGCAAACAGCAGCTTAAAGGCTTTAAAGCGGTTTGCTCCGTGACCGGAGTGGCAGCTGCGTTTCACTCCGTTTCTGTGAAAGAAAGTCGAAGCAACTCAATCCGATTTTCCTGACCTGGAGGACCTTAATGCAACATGATACAGGCCCTCTATTAGACCTGCTCTGGCTGCTATATGCCTTCATCTCTCTACCTCCACGTCTCCAGCTAAACCACTGCTTGCAAACGCGTAAAACTGGAGGGCTGCATCTTTAAAGCAGAGATAGGTGTCTATGTTATGAGATCAGTGGGTAAAAATCCCACACTAACCTTTCAGTGTTGTGTAACTCAAGAGACCTGAGAGAAAACTAGACTTCTGCACCGCTTCTGAGCTCAGGATTTAGAAAATCTAGCCTCTAACAAGAGATTTTAGCCAATCTCAGGTCTTTTCACAGGTGAGACTGTACGAGCAGCAACAACAACACTTCCACACTGCCTAGTTATTCTTTTTACTTTAAGTGCACACTAAAGCTGCCCTTGTCTGGCTTTATCCGATCCATTCTGGAGAACATAATCGTCTGGCTGCACTACATTATCATTCTGCTTCAGGTGGAGAGGAAAACAAACAAAACAAAGCTTCACAGTTGTCCAGAGGTAAACAAAGGATGCAGAACTTTGGTGTTTCCTCAAAATAGTGACAAGTTGAATTGTTTTGGTGGGACATGTGCATCCAGGGAGAAGAGAACTAATTCAAATGGATAATTCACTGGAAAAAAAACAACCCAGCAACTTGAAATGTTCTGAGTCTCTACAGTTTCACGCTTTGATCCAAAGCAACACACATCTGAGAGCAGACACAACACAAGCAAGGGTCTGGTCAGGAGAAAACCACCTGGATAAGAGCCGCAGAACAAGCTCAAGTGTGAAAGGGCGTTGATGCCAATAGCAGGCTGTAGGGAGGAAATGTGAATAATAATTGTTTTGTTTTTTTTTGCTGCTCTGAGGTTGTTTTTGTTTCTTGGAGGAAAGAAAACAGGAAAGAAACCAGCCAGTAACAGGCTCATACCTGCATCCTACATCCAGTGAGTCAGACTACAGCTGCCATTAGAAATACTGTCATACAGCAAGCATACAGATAGGACACACTGATTTGATTAAAATTTCCGCCTTAATTAATCAGATTAAGAATAATAGTATCTCAAGCGTTGTACACGATGAGGCCTCTTACTGGTGCAGCAAAGTATCTGATCAGCGCTAGCAGAAGTACCGGCAGCTGCTGTGGTTGACGAGATTCTTAGAAAATGCTGTGAACTAGGAACAGCTTATCAGCAAACAGTTTGTAGGGAACATGAGCTTCGTTCATTAGAGATTTGTGGTTGATTTCTTCGAAAACTTTGGCCCCAGGCTGCTCTGATATGACGATAAAACACCTCGTCATGTGCTGACGGCATGTTTGAAAGGGAAGCTGCCTCCAACTTGCAGCAGCTTCTGACACCATTACAGAAATCTGCGACGTCTTTTCGCTCAGTCTAATTTAGGATGTCTGTAATTATATTTTGTAAAGGGGAATTCCAGTTCAAGATATCTACAGCTTCATTCACACTAGTTCTAACAGAGTTTCAGACATCCGAAAAAGGACTGTGTAGATATGTTGAATTGAGGAAAATCAGAGATATCTTGATCTAGAATTATGACAAGTCAGAATTAAGTTGAAGTTATCAGAACTGGAATTAATACGAGTCATTATTTAGGCTGCACACATGTGAAATGTAAATTACAGGTATCACAACTGTAAATAGCTATGCCATAATTTCCAGACTATTGAGCGCACCTAAATGTAAGCCACAACCACTAACCTTAAAAAGAAAACTAATTTTGTACATATATAGGCCGCACTTGTTTATAAGTCGCAGGTGTCCTTGTTGTAACGTGAGACATTTACACAGAAAGATTTTTTTAAAATTTTAAATTAAATAAGTACCGGTAAACTACACAAATATGTACCGTAAATGCTTTTTCGAACAGTGCCTGTACCATGGCTGGTTAAATAAATAAAAAACTACAGTAGCCTACCAGGAAAAGTAATTGATGGCTATCTTCATCTTCCTCCTGCGCAGTAAAACTGCAAAAGTCGTCTTCTTCAGTGTCGGAATTGAACAGCCTCAGAATTACTTGGTCACACACTTCCTCAGTCTCTCTTTCAGTGTCACTCTCAATGTCACTTTCATCTCGAGGCAAATTTGTAAAAATCCATAAATTAGCCGTATCATTGTTTAAGCCGCAGTGTTCAAAGCGTGTGAAAAAATTAGTGGCTTATAGTCCAGAAATTACGGTAATAAGAAACCTCATGAATTAATGGTTAAAGTGGCGTCATTTGTCCTAAAAAGAATTTGAATGTTCTTTCTGCCTAGAAATAACACATTTACGGAATTTGGCAATACGCATCCAGTCTAACGGCTTGCTGTAGGTGAAGCCATACAGATGTGCTTGTGGTGGAAGGGGTTTACAACAGAGAGGGCAGAGGATCAGCTGTAGGAGGAGGACTGTATATTTGTTTTCATGTTCATGATTCCTGCTTACTGCAGCTTTAAGTCACTGGTTTGTTTCCACACTTAGATCCTCCAGGAGATCCGTAACCGGACCATCAAGACCATGTGCAGCCAGAAGAACATGCCCCACAGCATCTGGTCTCTGAGCCCCCCGCAGAGGAAGACGCTGCTGCAGCACATCCTGGTGAACGACGAGCACCGCTTCCTGTACTGCTACGTCCCCAAGGTGGCCTGCTCCAACTGGAAGAGGGTTCTGAAGGTCCTGAACGGAGCCCTGGAGAACGTGGACGTCAACATCAAGATGGACCACCGCAACGACCTGCTTTTTCTGTCCTCCCTGAAGCCCGAGGAGATCCGCTACCGCCTCAAGCACTACTTCAAGTTCATGTTTGTGCGGGAGCCCATGGAGCGGCTGCTGTCCGCGTACCGGAACAAGTTCGGAGAGATTGAGTCCTACCAGAAGAGGTACGGGGTGGAGATAATAAAGCGGTACAGAAAGGGCCACGCGAAGGACACATCTGTAACAGGAGACGACGTGACCTTCGCGGAGTTTGTCCGTTACTTGCTGGATGAGGACGTGGAGCGCATGAACGAGCACTGGATGCCCGTGTACAACTTGTGCCAGCCGTGTGCTGTTTCTTACGACTTCATTGGCTCCTACGAGAATCTCGAAAGCGACGCAGAGTTCGTGCTCCAGCGCATCGGGGCACCTCCTTATGTTCACTTCCCAGAGAGGCAAACGTGGTACAAGCCGGTCACCACAGAAACGTTACACTATTATTTGTGCAGCTTACCACAGAAGCTACTGAGGGAACTCCTGCCCAAGTACATTTTAGACTTTTCTCTATTCACATATCCCCTCCCCAACACAACCACTGAACACTGCCGGCATTAAGCGTGCAATCTTTTATAGTTTTGAGATTATTTTTATAGAGAATCATTTGTACTATTTTTATTCCATGGGAACAAAAGGTATTTTGAGAGCTGTTACACTTTTTGTTTGTTTTTTTTAAACTGGCGACGTCTTCATAGCATTTCAAAACCACTAAAGCTTCAAATCCAATACAGGAAAAAGTTACTGATCCGTATGTTGTATGGCCTGTTACAGGAAATGATTTGTTGCAGTATTCGATGATGAAAATGTTGATACGGTTGCAAGACCAAACTGTGTGTGTCTCTTGTGTCTTCAAGTGCTGTAGAAAAGTTCAGTGTTTAATGGCTTCAGCGGGCATTCGGTGGTTTAGNTTCAGCGGGCATTCGGTGGTTTAGGCTAAAACACACACCAAGTACTGGGAGGGTGGAAGATTTCAAACCATGCTTGTTGTTTTTTTTTTTTTTTTGGCAAGTCACAGCCTCTCATTCCCATCTGTCTCCCATCTTTCCTATTTACCATCTAATAAAACTGAAGTTCCCATTTTGTGACGTACATCTTTGCAGTTTCTGATTTTTGTATCAGTTTATTTTGTGAATAATTTAATAATTTAAACATTATTATAAAAACAAGAATATTAAACATAATAGACCAAACTTCAGGCAATAAAACAAACACTTCTGTTGCTACATGTATGAGGTTAAACTACTGAGACTCAAATTCAAATGTGGGACTGATTCACAAAGTCCTGATTTCATCAGCGGCTGTTCAACCTACTGACAGGGTGGACACTTTGCAGTGCAACAAGAGTCAATGAAAAACTGGATGTTTGAGTAGGAAAAACACTCTCTTTAAATGTTAGAACGGTTACTTGCTTTAGTACCGCCAAGGAATGATTTCATTCTGTGTGCCTCTGGTTGGACGGAACAATAAAGTGGCACTGAGGTATGCTACAGGCCGGTTCATGCCGAGGTTTATGAAGGCCGCTCACTTCATTTCATGTCCAGACCCAAACTTCAAGAGTCCAGTGGTTTCTGACTCACTTCATCTGTGCCTTCATTTGCCTTTGTAGTTGTTAATCCTTGAAGCTCACGCTCCTAAAAAGAGAAAGAAAGACGTTTTAAACATAGAATAGAATAGAATAGAATAGAACAGAATAGAATAGAATAGAACTCAGAAATGTCTATTGTGCAGGTTAACAAAGTTATAATGGCATACATCCTACATCCTTCATAAAGAAGTTGAATTTGTTGGATTACTTATTTTAAAAGAGTGGGAGAAAAACTGGAATCAACATGTACGACATTGTGTACGTGTCCACAGGTATTACTAATAGTGGGAAAAAATAAATAAAAAATTCTCCCTGAACCCCTGAAATTTTGTCATGTGACTGTTGGTTAGCTGAGTCACTTACGGCTTCTTGATTATGCTGAGGAGTGCAGAATGGTTTTGTTCTCTCTCTCTGTCTTTTTTTTTTTTTTTTTTTTTTAAATCTCGTGCAACTACTTATTTAGTTGAATTATTAAACAAGGAATAAACTGAGGTCACAATTTTAAGTTCAGATTTGGTTACCTAAAGTCACACATTAGTTCAATGATCCAAAAAAATCCAACGATTCTGTTTTTACAGGGGTTCAGAGGGTTAGGGCTCAGTGTTTCTATTTAGAGAAAAACATAAAAAAATATTGGTTTGCAGCACCTTTCACCCAGATTTTGTGCCATTTTAAAACACGAAAACAGCTTCATCACTTTCATGTCCGAAGCCTTACTTGTCTGCTGTCCTGTCAGTGGAGCGGTCAACAGATCGGAGGATGGAGCGTTCTGGGGAGACGTGGTGAGAACCGCTGGACACACTGAGGGGCGACGAGCTTTGCAGGGACGAGAATGACAAACCCTGTCTGCGGATCTCCTGAACTGCTCTTTCACTGAGGACACAAAGGCAACGAGACTAAGGTTAAAATGTTGTGTTTGTATCACAACTGCACATGTAGTTACAGCTATTAAAGCTTACAAAGTGCTTAAATAATTACTTCATTCATCACACTATTCAAAAACTATATTTAAGCAGAGCTGAAGTCAACTTTAGTCAGTTAGTTTGACTTTTTAAAAAGTGCATCTGCAACAATTTTGATCAGAAATTAAGTCATTTTTAGTGAAAAACATTAATATTTTATGAGATAACATTTTTAATTTTTGGACTGTTTGATGTCACACTGGGCTGTGATTACACCAGATTTCCTAAAAGAAGAAGCTAAACTTCATTTCACAACTTTCTCACGGATTAAGAAATTGTTCCATTTCCTGCAACAATAGGACAACTATGTCTGGTATGTAGTGCAACATTTTCAGTAATGTCTTTCCACTCTGATAACGCGCCACTTCAAAGATCAAACATTAGGAAAAGCTGTTTTTCAGTCAGATTGAAGTTAAAAACTAGCTTAAAATGAGGAAATAATCTCTTCATGAACACAGAATATATTATACATTGACGTTAGCTAAGGTCACATGACAGAGGTGATATAAAATAATTTTTGTATCTTATATGTAATACAGTAAATCTAACGAGTCAGACACGACCCCCAGCAGTAAAATATGTCTGTTCAGTAAAGCTCACAACAACTTTTTCCACTGATACAACCGATAAAATAACATAACAGGCAACTACTTTGATAATCAGGTTCATGTTGAAACTATTTTTCACTGCAGTTTTTATGTGGCTTCTCCAACATTCTCCTTTTCTCTCCTTTCTATCAGTGTAAGCTTCTTTCTTCGGGGGGGGTTTAGAGTGTTGGTGAAGAGGTCAGCTTAGATTCTGGGAAACTGAAATGGATCTGTAACTGTTGGATTTCTGCCCAAAGCATCAGTGTAAAAATCAACAATCATCGAGCTCACCGTTCAAAGCGCTCAGTGGTCAGTTGTCTTTTCAGAACGTCCATCTCTGTCTGCAGCTGAGACACTTTGCCGCGGAGCTGGGACACCTCCCTGGCATGCTCTGCACTTTATGCAAACACACACAAACGATAATCAGCAATTGTTTTTTTTTAAATGACATTCAATTCAGTTCAAAGCAGCACACTGAAGGATTTATTTACGTTTTGCTGTCAGCCAGTGTGAGCCTGCCGCGTAGGACTTTCAGCTCCGACTCTCTCTCACTGGCTGTCAGATGCGTTTGAAACTCCTTCTGCCGATTGGTGGAGAGCAGCGTCTCAAGGTTACGCACAGTCAGACGCTCGCTGGCAAGTTGTTTCTTAAGGAGCTCCGCCTCGGACTGAACGTCCTCTAGTTCTCCGGTGACCTAAAAACAGAAAGCATAAATATCACAAGACAGATAACCACTGCTGATGTAGCAGAGTGCATGCACAGCGGAATGCAACCCGTTTCACTGCCAAGACCAGAAGAAGTGTGTTTAAGAATAAATCCAAACCGCAGCAGGCCTCACCCTCTCGAGGTCCATGCTCTTGGAGGTGAGCTGACGTGCAGTGAGCTCTTTGCCGGAGTCCAGTTTGACACAGAGCTCCCGGACAGAAGCCAGATCGGAGAGGAGAGCAGCCTTCTCCTCCTGTGCTTTGTGCAGCTCCTCCTCGAGTCGGGACATCCCACGGACCAGCGAGGATACTTGGGCCTCATAAGCCTGCAGCGCTTGCATGTGCTTGGAGAAATATCAGGGTGGAAGGTACATTTAAGACACACTGGTATAGAAACTGAAACCCTATTGGAAATCTTCTCTGTAACGTGCCAGTGTGATGTGTCTCACCTGCTGGATTTCTCTCTCCTGGTGTCCGACGGTGTCTCGGAGGTGTCGGCGTTCCGTGTCTGAGGAGAGCAGCTCCAGGCGGATGGAGTTGTTGAGGCCTTCAGCCTGCTGCAACTTCTGCTCCCGCTCCTCCACGTCAGAGTGGGCCATCCTGAAACGTTCCAGCAAATCCCTGTTCTCCTGTTCCTGTGGGTCAAAAATCAGCAGAGGGCATCTACCAGGTGTCTTCATACTTCTGGTATATAACTTTGCATTGACAGGACTCTCACAACACATAGCCAAAACCATTTACAATATAGAGCTTCAAACTGTTGTAGGAATATACAGTTTTGTCTTGCCTTTGTGGCCATCAGTTTCTCTATTCTGGACACTTCAGATATGTATGAGTGGACCCTCAACTTCAGCTCATCCTTCTCATGCAAAGCTTCTTCCATTTCCACGTGCACCACCTGGACAGAGAGACAAGTGAAGCTGTTGTTACTCCTTATTTTGGTTCCTTTATCTATATGGCGATGAGAAGATATGAGAAGAAGCTGCTTTAACTGATGGCAGTAAGATTCCTTATTTACTTGGTTTTCTCTGGTCATTGTGGCCAGGTCATCTTGCAGCCTCCTGTTCTCTCTGATCGTGATTTCTTTGTCTCTCCTGTGTCCAGCCAGCTCCTCCTGAGACGCATCCAGCTGTCTCCTCAGACTGGTTATCTCCCTCTCCCGGCTGTTTAACGCTCCTTGTAGCTGACTGAAAGGGTTAAAATCCCCACATGTCAACAGTTATATCCGTTTAGAAGGAGAATAGGGTGGCTTTTTGTATGGCCTTTTAATCGTGGCATTTAGTTGTATGAAAAAATAACACAGAAACCCTGAGAGTACAATACTCACGCTAGTGAGCTGTCCATGTTCGTGACTGTGAGTCTCACATCTTCAAGGGTCTTTTCCTGCAAAATGCCAAAGACTTGTGCTTTATTTTGCTATTTAAGCACAATCCACATTTTGCTTGAATGAGCAGATACACAACACAGCTTGTGGATGGCATTTAGCAGAACAATTAGCATGAAGTCCTCACAGCTTTCCAGCATTTTCTTTTTTAACATCAATTATTTTAAACATTTGTTTTCAGCCTGACCTAATTTAAACACAAAAAAGCTGCCTGCAACAGATTTTTTGCTGACTGCATTAGGAATCTCCATTCATAATTGCCGGCTGACCTAATCACTGGCATATTTATCTGCGCATCCCAATTAGTTCACGTGTGGCTAACTTTCACTGTAGGGATGGAAACCATAACAGACATTCCTGAACTGATAAGCATTTATTTCCTGGAGATGATGTTTCACTTTCCCAAAATCAAGCAGGAGAGACGACCAAGACCGACTGAGCCATAAAGTAAAAACTACAAATTGATGCAAAAATGGCTCTTCCAGGTGGCTAATTTCTGTGTTTATGTTCAATCAGACTGAGAACAAAAGTGTAAAATAGTTCATGTAAAAAGCTCATGCTAATTGCCTCCTACTAAAATCCATTTCCCCAAATCTCTACAACAGAAGAAGAGAGTGCAAAGTCAGCATAACACTTCAAACCACAATAGCCACATTAATGGGAAAAACACCAGTTATAAATAAACCAGAATCCTCTTGTAATTTTTAGAACATAGTGGTAAATTTAAAGTCTATTTTAAGACAATACTCACAAGTACATTTGATACATGGAAGGAGTTACAGCTCATTGTATTTATTCCTCCTCTCCACACTAGCAGTGAGCAGATGCCATACGAATGTGTTTCTAATTTAAGATATGGGGACAACACAACATCCAAAGTCCTCTTTATGTGCATGAATGCATATTTAAGATTACCTTGAGTTAAAATGAGGACTCATCAGTTGGTCAACTGGACTTCATCCCAGCTTAGAGTAATTTTAGTGCAACGTTTCCCCTCTTTCTATTTTCGCAGACCATATTTACCTGCTGACCTGTAGGCGAGGAACAGCAGCAAAAACGGTAAAAACACTGTAATTTTGGAATATGCCCACTTGATCTGACTAATGGGTAACTGCTGATGCTTCATACTAACTGTAGTTAAACATCAGAGGGCATTTTTGCACAGAAAGAGGAATTGGTCCCTTAATAGCTACACTTGAATTAGTTTGGGAGGGGAATTTTTCACAGGCAGAATAGATAGAAGGAACATTTACAAGAATCAAAACTGTGGACGTGGGGATCTGAGTATTGTTTTCACACAGACCTGATAAAGGAATAATTAAAAGCTTGTCATCTTGATGAGGTTTGTTGTAATGAGTACCTTCTTTGACAGCTCCTCCTGGAGAACAACCAGCTTTTCAGTCTTTTGATCCACCTCATCCTGCAGGGCATCTTTCTCTCTATCCAGGGCAGAGACTGACTTGTGAAGGACAGCTACCTCCTCCTTGTGCTTGGAGCTCTGCTGACTCAGCTCTCCTGGCAGGCAAACCCAAATTAAGCAAACAGCAAGAGCAGCCGCGGAGGAAGAGCGGAACAATACACAGCACCAACTGCAGCAGCATATTCACCTATTCTCTCCTCCAGTTTTTCAATCTGCTCGTGGGCCGCATGCAGCTCATTCATCTTCACCGACAGCCTGTGTTGAGTATCAGACAGTGACTGCTCCATCTGCTCCTGCAGCAGCCTGAAGACAGACAGAGAAAAGTCCATCAGTTCTCTAACAAGGTTGTGGCAAGACACAACAATCTCTTGCTGCATCGGGAAGGCATCATTTAATTTGGTTATTTTGCTCTTTGACTAGAACTAAATTAAGTTTCGAGAAATTACATAATGAAGCAATTACTCATGTAATGGTTGTGTAAAGAAACCAATGTGTTCCTGTTTGCTGTGGCTCAGAATGATCTTTGAGGGATTCCTATGCATGACAGTAAAGCCCCATCTGCATACAGTTAAGGCAATGAGTCTGTGTTGCTGTTTTTGATAGAAATCTATGCATTTTTTTGTTTTTTTTATGATCAACCCAAGTGTACATCATTTGGTTAGCTTGCAGTACAATATTCACCTAACAGCTTCCCTACTGAATAACAGCACCACTGTTCAGTTCTTTCACAAAGGTCCTGCAGTAGAAAAGACTACAGCAGACATACAGAAGTCATCACAGTTACCTCAGAGCATTAGCCTCGGCCCTCTGCTGAGCCACCTCCTCTGCATTGTGGACCAGAGCAACGGACCGAACCTTCAGCTCCTCCTCTGCAGCCTCCCTGTTCTCCTTCAGAAGACATACTTGTGATCGCAGGTCCAATCTCTCCCGCTCCAGCTGCACCCCAAAACACACAATGTGAGGGGTTAAAAACGCAGCAACACAATCCTACTTAACACCAAAGCTGGAGTAGTGAATGTTACATAATAATACGGGACAAAGAGATTTCACACATCAGGAACACTGGGTAAGGGAAAAATATTTCCAAAGATTGAATTAAATATCCATCAGGCTCACGCTCTTAACAGCATTCTCCAGGTCAACAATCCTCCTCTCCTCTCCTTGTCTGTCTGTGAGAGCTGAAGTCTGGGCGACCTGCAAATACATTTGATGCAAATACATTCTCAAAACTTGTTTACAATATGCAAATGTGGTTTCAGAGGTGAGCTGAACACGCAATGCTGCAGGTAACAATTTCAAAAAATTAGTAATCAATGTGCATGTCGAACAGAAAAACACACACAGCAGCTAGTTACAGAATACACTGTAGAACTATCTCAGTAATTATTCCTGAGGTGACCCGAGCAGTGTGTGAACACAGCACAGGATTTCTGGAGAAATGAGGACCTCTGACTGTGTTTGACCTTCATCAACGGAAAGCATGTACAAATGAAAGTCCGGTAGCAACTACTTTAATTACAACTCTGTTAATGATGAATTAGAAATGGTGTGGAAGACAGAATCTCCTTGTACTGTCTCTGTTCATACCAAACATTTGTTTTAAGTACCACTTATTTTTGGCACATATGCAGTCGGCACACTTGTACTGTGGACAGTCACAAATTTTAGGCTGTAGGCAGACAGGTCCATTTGAACCCTCAAGGATTTGGGTGGATGACGAAATTTATGTCACATGTACCATGGTGGGCATGTACGTGAGCATGAATTTGCCTTAAGGTAGAAAAGCTGTATATAATGGCAGCCTATTTACTATTCACTCCGATCAAGATAGAAATGTGTCATAATAGGATGACGGTGATCACTCAAAACAACGTTTTATTGATTTGCAGTGGAACTGTACTATGCCTCCACAATACCCAGATCTCCCCCTACTGTAGAGGTCAAGGGTTCTGCTTGTGATCCTATGTAATCCCAATTACACTGTGTACCAAAGACAAGGTTCTTTACAGTTGACTAATTATCCTCTAAAGGACAATAATGATGTATCAGCATCATGTGGATGTTACTCTTGGACTGACCTTCAACCTCTCCATCAGGGCGTCTCTTTCAGTGGTCATCTGCTCCATTCTTACTTCAGTGCGTTTCATCTCCTCCTGCAGTCTTAAGACGTTCGCAGACATGTCTACGTTTCGGGCCAACTTTAGGTCATCTTGAGCCTAAATGAATGACAGCATTGTATCCTTAGAGGTGTAAACAGATTTTTTTTTAAAAAAATATTTCAAGAGCATGCAAAACCGCAGAATAGCTCTACACGTACCTGTTTATAAAGAGTTTTGAAATGTTCTCTCTCCGTGCTGAGAGCCTTCACATTGTTCTGAATGTCCTCCATGTGCTTCTCAAAGTCCAACAGTGCAGCCCTCAGCTCATCTCTCTCCTTAATTAAATGTAACAGTTCTGTCTCGGCAACACCTCCCTGAAGATTTAAAGCCATTATTCTTGATTTTTTTGCATCAGTTTTAGAAATTTCCTGTATTCAGAGTACTTTTTATGGTCTCTTACCCTGATTGCTTTGGACATTGGGCTCCTGCCTCTGCTTGGACTGCGACTGGGGCTTACGTCCAGACCACCAGCTCCTCTGGCTCTTTTGTAGCGCTCGGCCTCGTGGCGATAGTAATCCCTCTCCTCTTCTAAGCTCTTGACAAAAGCATCCAGGCGAGACGGAGAGCGCTCCCTTCCACAAACACCATGTTTGGCACGCATGGTCTCCAACTCCAGCACCAGGTCTTTGTCTAGTAAACAGCAACGAATGAGCAACACACTAATGCAAAGTTGATATAATAATAGGATCTGACAGTTGAAGTATAATAAACTGCTGCTTACCAGCTGCCAGCATTTTCTCAACTTTGTTCTGCAGCCTGATTTTCTCATCCTCAAGGAAATTCACGAGTCCCTCCATCTTCTCATTCTGCTCTTTGAGCTCCACCAGCTGATCTCTCAGACGGTCTTTTTCGAAGTCACCTTCTGACTGCTCCTGAATTCAGTCATTTCAAAAACAACTATTTATGTTTGAGCAATATTAGAGGTTGACTGATTGTTTCAATCAGGTCAGATACGCACGTGGACAAAATTGTTGGTACCCCTCGGTTAATTAAAAAAAAAACAAAAAAAAAACAACGGTCACAGAAATAACTTGAATCTGACAAAAGTAACAATAAATAAAAATTCTATGAAAATTAACCAATGAAATCAGACATTGCTTTTGGCTTAACAGAATTATTTTAAAAAATAAACTCATGAAACAGGCCTGGACAAAAATGATTAACCCTTACTTAACCCTTAGTAATGAAGGAGACTAATAACTGATATTTGGAATCAATATACATTTGCAGTAAAAATGAAAATCTTGGTGCCAAAATCTAGAATAGCACAAAACACAAAACTACCTTTTTTTTTATTTATGTTTTATCACTTATCGTTGACGTTAATAAGTCAGTACTTGTGACCTGTAACCAATCAGATAGCGCTGTAGGTGCAACACTGCTCAAGACCACAGTGTGACTGCAGGTAGACAGAGGTGGCTGTATCAGAGCCACAGCAGTGCATTTCTAATAAATACATTTAATTGAGAATTGGCAAAAAACTAAACACACAAAAACAAACAAAAAATTTTAAAAAAATACTTGGAAAAACATTCATTATCAGATCCAACTATTGGCCAGGCCGACAAGTAGTCAACCCTGGCTCAATACCAATTATACTAAAGCTCAAATATGTATCGATTAAGCAAATTAGAGTAAGACCAGTGTACACTGTGTACTGTACATACCCTTCTTATCTTTGTAATGATATCCTCCAAGTCTTCAATGATTTTCTGCTGCCTTAGAATCTCTTTCTGTTGAGAAAACATTTAGTTTTTGTGAGCATTTTCACTGCAATAAATCCCACTTTGCTACACTATGCATTTATAGTTGATGTCAATAAATGCAGCAAAATGTAATTTGACATCTGTTCGTCACGTCATGTTCTCACTTTAGCTTCTTGCAGCTCCATGTCAGCAGTTTCCAAAACACGCTCCTTGTCCATCTCCAGCTGCTTTGCGAGGTCGTCTATGTGCGTCAGTTCTTCACACAGTTCCAGGTTCTTTAAAGACAGATTGGCCACTTCACTGGAGGCGTCTTTCTTTTTCTGCTGCAGTCCTTCAATCTTCTGCTCCAGTGTGCTGTTGGTCTCCTGTAGGTGCTCAATCTGTGCAACACAGAGAAATGGATTACAGTTAGCAAGTACCAGCAACCATTCTCAGACTCCTTTTCTTCCAGAGAACTTCTTAAACAATCTCCTATTGAGTATTTTAAAAATATTGTATCTGCTGTGCTTGCCTGAAGGTTGAGATGGGCGATCAGTTTCTCGTTGCTGATGTTCTGAGCTTCGAGGGTAATTACATCATGAGGCCGTCCTCCCTGAAGCGCGCGATTAAGACGCACAATCTCTTTGTCCCTTTCCTCCACCTAATACAAGTTTATTAAAAAAATAAATCAAGATCGAATTACCTCTATGGTAACTTTACATATTCCAAAGTTTAGCATCCTTCTCTTTGACTGACCTGAGTATTTAAGTGTTTTATAAATTCCTGAGCATTTTCCAGGTCGAGCTTGACCTTAACGATGTCCTCCTGCAGCTCATGAATTCTACAAAATTAACACAAGTCAAGCGGCAATATTGCAGATGTAAAGATCAACAAGCAACACAACCACTGAGCAGCTACCGCTACACAAAAGAAAAACAAACCTCCCATCAGCCAGCTGCAGCAGGTCAGCTATGTAGGGATCATCAGGCTGCAGCACAGGATAAGCTGATGTAGAGGAGGGAGGTACAAGCTCATCAATCTGCATTCTTTGCCGTCTGAAAGGGATACTGCGCTTTTTTCCACCTGTGAAGACACAAGACAGAAGTGACAGATCCAAAAATCATATATTGATGCCAAATATTACTTTTGGAGCTTAATTGACACCTCTGGTATTACCTGGAGTCTGCACAACAGCTTGCAAGTTCTTCTCCTGCAGCTGCTGGATGCGCTCAGCTTTAGCCTTACTGTCCTTCTCTAGACAGCGGACCTTATGCACATATTGATTATTGAGAAACTTCAGGTCAGATGTTTCATGGTCCAGCTTTCTGATGTGGGTTTTGAGCTCTGGAACCAGACAGGATTATTTTACAAAACCAGTCCTTTCTGTGTGCTGGTGATGAATATGGGAAAATGTTTGAGACTGTGTTAAGGAGACGGAGGAGCCAGTTAACAGCAGTTTACCTCTGGTGACGCGATCTTTCTCCTCCTTCAACTTCAGGAGCTCGAGATGCAGCTCATTGTTTTCCCTGACCACCTGGGCATTCTCTGTCCTGTACGGCTCCAGAAGAGCGTCCAAGTTTCGGCTTTCTTTCTCAGTCTTCCCTGCTGACAGTTTGACATTGCGCAGACTCTCTGTTGTGTGGACCAGATCACTGTAATACAGAGGAAGACATCAAGATAACAACATGGGACAAACTGTGACTGAGCTCTTGGTAATGTATAATAAATTGACTACTGACTGGCTGAGAGAAGGGCTGCACAATATAATGTTTCAGAATCAACATTGCATTGTGCATTACTCACATCAAAGGAAGCGCAACGTGCAGGAAGGCAAATCAACTGAAACACACTGTCCTACTGCATGATACAAAAAGAAAACTTGCATGGTTCCCATGTTCCTTGACTAACCTACAAGAAACGTCTTATATGATTTACTCCAATTTAAAGTTTCTTTTATAGACAGAGTTGAACTTCTGCCATGAGAAAAAAACATTTAAAGGGAAGATTTGGCTACAAAAAGAAATGTACTGTCAGTTGTATGGATATATTTTGACTACAATAGGGGTGATGTTGGGCTGCAAGGTGGCGCAGTTGGTAGCACTGTTGCCTCGCAGCAAGAAGGTTGCCGGTTCGCACCGGAATCTTTCTGCGTGGAGTTTGCAGGTTCTCTCCGGATTCTCTGGCTTCCTCCCACAAGGTCCAAAAACATGTTGAGCTTAATTGGTGATTCTAAATTGTCCGTAGGTGTGAATGTGAGTGTGCTTGGTTGTCTGTCTCTAAGTGTAGCCCTGTGATAGACTGGTGACCTGTCCAGGGTGTCCCCTGCCTTCACCCTAAGTCGGCTGGGATAGGCTCCAGCCCCCCACGACCCTAGTGAGGATTAAGCGGTGTATAGATAGTGGATGGATGGATAGGGGTGATGTTGACCTTCAACAGCTACTCTGTCAGCAGCAGCACAACTAATTTGTTTGATCATTTAAATCAACACGTCCAAGTGACGAGTGTAAAATCAGATCTGCTAGAATGTCATCCAAAGCCAAAAATTAAAAATGCTTTTGCCAGAGTTATGAGAAAGATTCCAAACAGAAGAAATTAGTGATGCGATAACTTTCTACCTTGTGAAAGACATGATAGTAATTAACAGTAACTGAAGAGGGCTTTAAATACATGAAGAGACAACAGGTTTGTAATACCATCACGCACCTATTTCTCTGAAGTTGCCATCCCGGAGCTTTATGAAAAACGCAGGGCACAAGTTCAAACAGAGCTGTCACAAGTGAAATATTATGCAGCTACTACAGACTTGCGACCCAGCCACACAACTCAGCCCGACATAAATCTTACTGTCCACTTTATTAATCAATATTTTCAACTAAGAAATCGCTGCTTGCAAACAGCATTTTTTAAAAATTTTTTGGCCCAGAAGAATATACAAGTAAAAACATCCCAGCAGAGATGAGAGACATCAAGCTCAGAACAGAAAACGCAGTGAAAATGATGAAGGCTGCAGTACTTTGGCCACACACTGCATCTTGCAGCTGGGAGGTTGCGCTGAGCGTTTATACTGAGCTGTTTTTTTCATGTCACAATGTCACAACATCACAACATACAGTGTAGAAAAACTAAACATTGTAAAATCATTTTGTCCCCCCAAACATGGTGATGTTAAAAGAATGATGGAGCAGACAGTTTAAAGGTTTCACCTGAAGAGCTTCTCCACTAGTGGCAGCGACTCTATCGCCAGCGGTTGTCTGTAGCCCAGCTGATCCAGACGTTTCCGCAGATTGATGAATTTCCTCTCTGCGCTGCTGGTCATGGTTGTGGTGTGGCACTGAAGACACCAATGGTAATAAACAAACAATTAAAATATGATCCAAACAGCAATATGGCCAAGTGCAATATCCAAATTGCAGGAGTTGCAAGATAAAATGTAAAATGTCATTACAAATAAAGCAATGTTGTGTTACAGAGACGCTTCCACCTACAAGTGATGTTCTCCAGACAGAGGGGGAACATACTAGTCAGGAAGACTGCAGCAAAAATGACAGCTTTATTCTAATTTTTTGTCAATTGAAAAGAAGCTAAAGAATAAGAGCAGTTTAACTAAATAACTGATCTATATTAGATAATTCAATTACAGGATTTTAATAAATATCTAAAAATATTAATCATCAAATACTTATTTCGAACCTTATTTTAAACAAATCTATAAGTATCAAGTTTCACAGGTGTAAACAGCTGCTGAGCATGTTAGACTCATAGGACTTTAACTAATTTTTATTTAATGTTTTTCAGTCAAAACATACTATAAGAATACGTTACACTACCACAACAAACGAGAGCACCGGTTATAGTGGTTAGCAACGCAGCTAAATTCTGAATATTTACAAGTGCAAATTTACATTTGCAAAAAATAATGAACATAAAACGCAGCCTGCTTGAACCTGTGCTGAGTTTCCAGAGTGGCTAAAAACGTGCTACAGTTAGCCACGTAATTCATGTTCACGTTAGCTGGGTTAGCTAGTAAACGAACTTTAAGTGTGGTTAAATACCGAAGTGCCTGCCTCTGCTAGCATTGGCCTGCTACTCAGTAACCATTAACACGTTAGCTAGCGTAAAATCTCAGGAAGTTTCCAGCTCACCTTCCTGACGGCTAACGTTAGCTTCACCGCCGTCAACGTACGGCTACATCACCAACATAAATGTCCCGTCTCTTGGACAAATTCCATGCACTGTCCTCATTATAGCATTACAGCTATTCCTCCGTTAATGTTAGAAAATCTTCAACTCTTGACTTGACATGTTTCCGCGGTAAAGAGGTTTGAAAAGAGCGCCGATGGTCTCCGGTTTGGATTCGTCACCATGACAGTGAGAGGCTCGGAGGAACAGCTGGGGCAGCGCGGTTTCGTAACCGGCGTTGTCCGGGTAGAAGCTGGAGGGGCGGTGTCACCGCAGATACTTTTCAGTTAGTTAATCAACTTTTATTTGTACAGCAGACCTCTGCAAATATAATCTCACATAACGTGCTTTAAAGAGCAAAAGAAAAAAAACATTTGAAAACAATTATTTTATCCCAGCGCCGCCCTCCTGATCCCTTTATAAACGATTGTGTTGCAAATGAAGGACTCCATAAGAGGGACTGTAGATAGGATAAACAGGAAATGAAGAAACATCAGAGGAAGGACAAGTCATAAATTCAACAGCAAAACAAGACAACAATAGAAAAGTGAAGCGCTAAAAGAAATAAACCAAAGCATTTAAAAATAAATCCATTAAAACATACTTGAAATGTAGATCTTGTTAAAAAATCTCAGCATTCTCTGCTTCCCTCAGGAATTCAGGGAGACTGTGGCAGAGATGTGGACCACAACAACAAAACGCTCTGACTTTGGGAATCATTTAAAGGCCACTGCCAGAAGACCTGGGGGTTCTAGTTAGTTTATAGGACTTAAGTTCATCTCATAAAAGGGCAGGATCAAGAACATTACGCTTTATAGTTCAATAACAGGATCATAAAACCAATTTCCAAGCACACAGGTAGTCAGTGTAAGGACTTTAAAACTGCTGAAACGTGTGTTCTGCTTCTCGTCTTAGACGATCCACTTACAACTGGGTTCTGATGCGAATGAAACTGAGATATACACCTTCTTGGGGAAACCAGACAGCAGAGCATTACAAGTCATGCCTGCAGGTAATAAGAGCACACAGTGGTATCTCTGTATTGTTTAGTCTTGGGTCCATAAATAGTTTTTTACTGTAATGATCTGATCCAAATAAAATCGGCAGACCTAAAGAAAGTAATGGGCTTCTCTCCTGCTCATGTGTTGCACTCAGATTCAATACTGCAAACAAAAATGCCCAGAGACATCAAAGACAATTTAGAAATGGAGTATAACCAAGAAGGCTTACTCAGTATGCAGACAGAAGCAAGGATGGTGTAAACATTCCAAAAAATGACGTCCTTAACAGTAAAATAAATACAAATATGAGATATATATTACTAGAGGGGTGCTGCAGCTGCAAATTTATTATGTACATATGGCATAAAGAAAAAACAAAAATATGACAAACAATTTAGAGCAGAGTTGTTGAATCACAAAGAAAGTAGGCACACGCACAACGCAGCCATATTTGCACCTCTGACAACTGTACAAATCCCTTTCATTACATTACACAGACACACAGAGGAAATGTTCATAATTCATAAAGCATTACAGGGTAGTTGCTAGTGTATCTTCAGTCAGCGTGAGGCAGTAGTGAATCAATAGGAAAAGAAAGTGCATAGCAGCTAATCTAATGTGACTGAGCAATGCTGGAGAAGTACTCCAACATGTCTTGGATGGTAAACTCCATGGTGATGCCTGATCCAGGGTAGCATCTTCCTATCAAGTCTTCAAAGTGCTTGTACTGACGGATGAACTCGTCTTGCATGGAGTGCCACACCACCTAGTGGAGTACATAAAGAAGCGCAACAGTTCAGAGACAGAAAGGAGGAATGTGATGCTGCTGTCGGATCACGCAGTTTACTGAAACTATGAATTTCTCACCTGTAGCAGACTTTCCTCTTCACACAGATGTTTGTCCACCTTCTTGTAGAGGTTGTCGAGTCCCTTTTTCACCTCTTTGCCTGGATACTCTTTGATAACTTTGCGCAGCTCTTGCTTGTTGAAGGCCAGCTGGTAGCTCACCTCCTCCTCGCGGACGCCCTGAGCCACACGTGCTTCAACTCCTTCGAAGAAATGCTGCAAGAGAGATAACCGTTTACCTACAACAGAAACTCTGACCTCTTACATCCTGCACATCCTGTCAATGTAAATGAATAAACTTTGTGGTGAACGTCTTACATTGAGTTTTTCTAGAGGCTGGCCCAGAGAGTTGATTACGTAAGACTGCAGATGGTCCGTGTATTTGTGCTTTGCCTCTCGTCTCTCTGCGTCCAGGCAGGAAATCTTCAGACGTGACAATGTAGAAAAAATGTGGTGGAAATTTTCCATCATCACAACATCCCGCGGCGTCTTCTGACTTTCATTGGCTACTTTCTCCACTGAAAACAAAATCAATTCTCAGATCTTTGTTTGCAGGCATCACGAATGTACCACATCACCTATAGACAATCGATATTTGATTTTTGTCTTTGGATGAGCAGTGCTCTCACCGTTCATGAAGACGGCCCTGATAAGTTTGACGTAAGCCTTATCCAGGTCGCCTCGGCGCTCTGCGTTACGGAAGATCGTTTCAGCAAGTTCAGCAAACTCCTCAAACACGGTGACAAAAGACAGGATGCCGACTTTGCTCTTCTTGGAAATCTTCACTTCCTCCATCTGTCTGATCTGACCAGACTGTAATAAAAAGAGACATTTAAATGTGGAACATCTCAAGCATGCTTTGATTTTGAGATGTCATCACAAAAACTGTGAAAAGTGAGCATAAGATTTCCATTTTATAAAAAACAAGAACTTCTTGACATTTTGAATTGAGGTACACATATTCACCATCAAGTAGCTGCTTAAGAGCATGCATAGTAGCAGCACATTGGCTCTTTACTAGTCATTATTAAGTTAATTTTGTTAGATTTTGCATGACTTTATTTGCAACTACTAGGCCACTGACTTTAGGTTTTCCCTCAATAACCTAATTACTGCTTGTTAATTAAGGAAGTTGTATAAGAATTACAATTTTAATATGCTTTGCTCAGTATGGGCCCTATAAGGTGCTACTACCTAAAGATAGTCTTTGTCCCTTCATAGCACTTAGTCAATATGGCAGCATCTTGTCTTAAAACAACAGATGTTGAACCAAAGTGCTTTCCGAAATAGGAGTACAATGTGATATTTCAAACAAATATAAAATATGACTAATTTAGATATTATGGCTAGGATCCACAATATTGTGTACTCTACCTGAGTATTTAAAAAAAACACAAGGTTAACACTCAACACAATTATGCATAACCCCAAAAATCCAAAGGGTTCCTATTAATAATCATATTGGCGACGTAAAATTCCCAAAGAAGAACCCTCCGGCAGAACCAGGTTTAGGGAAGGCAGCCTTCTGCTTCGACTAGAAGGGCGGAGGGTAAAGGGAATGTACGTAACAAAACACAAATCTGTAAGTGTTAATAGTGGAAAAACTACTCTTACTGAAGTCTTTCTAACTCTACATATGTTCAAAATTTGTAAGGGAGGTCCTCTTAATGTCTAATTCACTAGTAGTTTGACACTTATTAACTCATACAGGGCTCCTATTCTCAGGTTCTCTCCAATTCGTACCTAGTAAATCCATTACATCACACAACTACTGCAATCAGCAGATCCTATTCCTAAGTGAAGGGTAACACTTTGAAAAAACTGGAGGTTTACTGAGATGCACAGTTTCCATTCCTATTGGGTGGCAGAAGAACAAAACCAGCATAAGTAGAACCAGTTTCTTACGAGGGAAAAACTCAAGCAGTTGTCGAATGTAGTAATGCGGAAAAAGGCAATAATAGGTGCTTTATAATGACTAATAACAAGCTAACATATTAGCATGTATGCTAATAAGCGGCAAGTAAATGGCGAATATGTGCTCGTTAATATAAAGTATGACTGAATTTTCTGCATCGTATGAGTTGTACTCACAATGCATTTGTCAAAGTTTCTCTTGACAGTGACCAGCACATTTCCCAAAGTTGTGCTGAGGTAAGAGGCCGGGTCAACGTTCTCAGCTGTCCACACATGGTGACTCATCTTCACCAGCATATACAGAGAGTGGAAGCTGTCAATCTTGTCACCCAGAGCGATGAGGCTGTTGAGCTCCGTCTCAATGCTCTGGAAGATTTTATTCATCATCAGCCGCACCATGTCTTTCCTGTAGTCATGAAAAGAAGCGACGAACACGACGATATAAAAGTAAGAAACGTTTGTGGATGTAAAGACAGGTGATATTTACATCAGGAATGTTAGCAGCGATGTGCAAGTACTCACTCTGATGACAAGGAGTGTCTGTGTTCAGCCTGGGGAGGCATTCTTGATGGCGTGCCTCCATCGGATTCCTCCATCTCCGGCTGACAGGACAACAGATACAAAACATGACAAATCAAAGTAACATCTGCTGACGTAGAGAGGCATGAAAAAGTTTGATTTAGATTTCTGTTAGTGTGAAACAAGTAAGAGATGACCTGATTTCCAAAAGGCAGTAAGTTATAGATGGCATATCTCTTTTAAATTTAAGCAATACTGTTTTTATTTCCATCTTTTAATGCTTCAAATAAAAAAAAAAACAAAACCCTAGTCAGTACTTATTCACCCGACAACCTTTCAACCGACCTTTTGGCAAGTATCACAGCTTTTTGAGTCTGTCAATTCTTTCCTTCTTTTTTTTTTTCACCCCATTCTTCCTTCAAGGCTTTTAGTCCTCTTACATTCTTGGGCTGTTCATCTCTTTTGAAGTCTATCTATAGATTTTTGACAGTGTGTTTACAGGGGAATCATGAGCGCCATTACAAAATCTTCATCTTGTGAAGTGCAAGATGTAGTTAAGGTAGTCCACTGTGGATTTTGAGGATCCTTATACGGTTGCAGAAGGCATCTGTGTAGTGTTGCATCCAGAACTCACTGCCATTAAATTGAATCCATTCTTCTCTCATTGCAAGTGAAATGTTCCCCACTGGCTGCAGCACAAACCCAAAGCATGATCGATTCACTCTGTGCTGCTTAAAGAGGTTTTTCTCTTTCCATTAGTGTGTTAGATAACTTTTATGTGAGTGTAAAAGTTATAAAAACGTATGCAAACATCTGTTATCGCTGTATTGTTCTAAGCTTTCAGGAGACAAATGTCCCAGTTTCAGACGCCAACACGTGAGAACAGCTATTGATGTCAAGTGAAGTGACATCATTCACTTGGATGCCATTTGATCTTTTTTTTTCAAAGCTATTTCCAGTATGTGATCACAGCTGTACCTGCGCAAGAGGAGGTGTAACTGTCTGGTGCTGCTGCAGCTTAAAGAACTTGCTGATGAAGTCTTGTTCTGCAAGACACAGAGGCTCCAGCTCGCTGAGGACCTGCTCAAATATCTGCAGAGACAAACACATCTATTTTAAGCCTCAGCACGGAGAAACTGAACAGCATTATTTACATTCTGTTTAAATGTTTGATTTCATCGCAGGGCAGTGTCACCTTGTCGAACTTGGTTCTGTCAGCCACGTCCAGGTCAGAAGCGGACATGTTGCCCATGTCCAGCAGTGAGGACGACTGGGAACGCCGGCTGTTGGAGCCCTGTACCGTCAGCTTGTTCAGGCTTGAAGTAGAGCCTGTCAGCTTCCCAGAGCTGCCATGCAGGCCTAATACAGCACAACAAATACAGTGTGACTTAATTGTGACACTTTTAAGTAGTCAATCAAAATCACGTTTTTTTTTTTTTCAAATGGTTAGCTTTTTTGGCATTTATCATAGAATCAGAGTATGTGATGATGCAGTAAACATCACTGTGAGAATTAAGCACAAACCAACCAGGTAGATGGTGAGGTAGTGGTTTGTAGGGCTTTGTGGTTAAGGGGTTTGAGCTTAGTGCAGTTATGGAGGGCACAGTGATAAGAAGCACAGTGAGAAATTGACAGTGGAATAGCTCCATCCAAACATCATACTTACTTTCTGTTTCCTGTTTGAGCGCACTCTCTTTCCGCGGAAGCGTAGCTGCAGCCAGTTAGAAAGGCAGGCACCAAAGACAGACACAGGTTAGGCTTAAAACATGCAGCATGAGAGGGGTGAAGCTAGATGTTAGATGTACAAAAAGTTACACATATGCTGACGTGCACCGCAGTGGCTTAGGTAGTAGCTTAGACAAACCTTTGGAAAACAAATAGTTTTTTTTTTCTTTTGGTTTGTTTTCAGAAGGAAAAGCTACTACAGAGCGCAGAGAGCAGAGTTCCTGTAATTCTGCCAAAGCCAAAGCTCAACCAATGGTCCTATTCAGATTTTAAATATCGAGAACTGAGCATGTAAAGTCCCTGTGTAAAGGGAAAAGAAGACGTTATTGAAAGATAAAACAAGAAGCAGGACTATAACACTTTGGAAGCACAGATAAGTTGGTGAAAATATGTTTTTGGTATCAGATGTGATGCAGAAAAGGCTGTACAGGAGCAAGACATTGTTTCCTTATTTATATGTGAATACTACAGTACAATATGAACACTGGAAAAAAAATAATTGGGAGATCGAGTAAGACATGTAATATCACTGAAAACCACTAATCACAAAATAATAATTTAACCGCAAAGAAGAGTCATGCTTCATGTAAAAAAAACTCCAACAACCCTGTGAGTCACAGCTCTTACCAAACTTGCCCTTCGCTTCTTTGGATGTACCCGCCATCTTTATCTTGGCAACCTCAAAGAAGTCTTTAATTTCTCGCTCATATAGTCTGCTCATATAATCGACATAGGTCTGAAAAAGAGAGAAGACATTTGTTAGTATGCACAAAACACAAAATGCAGCATTATGAATACATCTGGAGAATTAAAGGAATAATTTTACTATTACTATATTAGATTTCATTGCTAGTGGTGGAGTCTGCAAATTCCTCCATATTACAACTGCATCCATGCAAACGATTAACAGAAAATGATGCATCTATGCAATCCAGCATAGTTCTGTCTCACTAATGTTAGCCTCACCATTCACTGTTTTTACACAACAGCAGTATTAAGTTACTGCCAACGGAGCAATAATATTAATACTGTTGTATTTCTGACCATGAAGCTGTTCAAGGAGTGTCTTATTTTTACGGTATTAAAGCATAATTTACTGTCCCCACAGTAACCAAAACTGAAATCTTAAGGCTTAAGGTCATAGTTTCCATTAACTGACGGAATGGGGACATTGAAGCAGCGAGTGGACACGCATGTAGCTCCATTCATACTACAACAGGTACGGCCTGTGTGCTATGCAGGCTGTTCCATTGCCCTTCAGATCAAACACACGTTTCTCAAAGGTTGCGGCTTTGAGTTTTCACTTTTTGCAGGATGTCGCAGCTGGATACAGATTGGACTGTAGCGCCATGTCAATGTGATTATCCCTGAGGTGGGCCGAGCACAGTGGGTGGGATGTAGCACAGGATTTCTGGAGAAATTCAAACTTCTCACTGCGTTTAAGCACCTTTGATGGGAAGCATGAACCAATCAAAGCGACTCCAAAGTCCAGCAGCGACTACTTCAACTGCAACTGTTTTGATGGTGCATTATAAAGCTGACTGAGAAACTCTTCACATGGCCTCTTCTCAAAAAAAACATTAAAAAAACATTTCTAATGATCACCATTTGTTTTCTTGACACTTGTGCAGCCAGCACACTTGCAGTGCATACGGTCCACGCAGTCACAAATACTTGGGTGTCGTGTGGACAGGGAATGAATGAATAAGCATTTACAACTTTAACAGACAGATAGACAACAATCTTCTTTTTTAGCTCTCAGCAAGAAACCTAACGAGCATACTTTCCCCAAATATCCGACTACTTCTTTCAGTTTTTAGCAGGATAATAGCACTGACCCTGGACAGACCCTCGTACTTCTCCCTGTGGGTATTCTTCAGCCACTCCATAAGCTTGGCGTAGCGCAGTAGGTCCCTGTGGAGGGGGCTGTGTTTGGGCAGGGTCAGCTCAGCTGTGTGCTGCGACAGGGTGGAGCTCTGGTCGTGGCCCTGAGTAACAGAGTTAGGAGTGAAAATTAGAAATATTCAATACCGGAATACCATTCAGGAGAAAACTTAAATCAAGTCCCTCTGCATTTTTGTATATACTCACAAACACACTGCATCTACAGAGGATTTAGCTGAGCTTTCTCTCACAAACATCTGTAGAGAATGTGGTATCTCAGTTTACCACGAGTCCAGATGACGTCAAAGTAAACAATCAGACTTTTTTTTAAACTTCAAATCCACCACATTCTCATTTCAACTTATTGAAATGCATCTCCCTTACTGCCATACTGATGCTCTCCTCACTCCCCCTCAGTGTTAGCTTGTTCAGTCTCTACTGCTTTTACAAGACATGCACGCAGAGCAGACAGGCACAGCAGTTCATGATATGAGACCATTTGCAATAAAGCCATGTTAGCACCAAAACATAAAAGCCCTCAGCCGAGGCAGTTGGTGAAGGAGGAGAAAGATGAAAGGTGCCTCTTCAGCTTTGAGACCAGATGAGAGATGTTAAGTAGTTAGAATCATATCCCATGCAATAAATAATGCACTGTGGTGGAAAGCCTGAGCTCTCATGGCATGTAAGTTGGAGTAACGTGTGAGAGGTCAAACAACAGCGAAGAAGGGGCACGTGGGGGTTGCTGTGAGGGTACTCACTGGAAGTGACAGACAGGAAGACCTATAGAACTGAGGGATGGTCATTTTGAAGTGACTGAAGTGGTTGAACTGACACAGAGACAGAGAGCAAAGTGGGATGATTCAAAGTGAGCAACACAGAGAGTAAAGACTAGAAGGGACACAGCTGAAGGGAAACAACACAAGGAAGCCCAGGGAGAGTCTCAGCAAAACAGGAAGCTCATCAGGGGAGAGAAAGAGCCTGGAAAAGAACAGGAGAGACTACAGTCCTCCATTTCACAGTAGACTCACATTGGCCAGGTTTGAGGACAACACAAAGTCTGATATTTAAATCTGCTCCTATGACTTTGTACCCAGTTATACTGATGTAATATTCAGATGCATAAAGTGGTAGAAATTATAAGGGAAAATATTTGTTTAGGGATATAAATTGGTAATTAATTTGTAGCTTTTAAGTCTTTATGAGCAAACATAAGCTACAACTTTACAAAAACATCACGATTTTACACAATGTCAACTGTACAGCCTGTTTAACACCACAGCTCGGTACAGACAAAATCAATCAAAATCAATGGTTATTTATTAATTAGGTCAGATTTTACTACTTAAAATTTTAGAATCAGAAGCTGCAGCGAGTCTTTAACCTAGAAAGATATTTCTAAACAACCACCAGCTCTCAATGCTGACAAACATGTTGTCATGACTGTTACCTGGTGAACAAACACATTGTTGAGGTGATTGGTGAGGCGGCGAGCAAAGGTGTCTCTCAGTTCAGCGAAGAGAAGTTGTTGCTGCTTCACAGCCATCAGCTTGTCGTGACCTACAGAAAGAAACAGCATTTTCATTTCATTACTTACTTCACAAACAACTATCAGCTGACTTATTTAATAAGAAAGTAATCAACAGTGCTTTATGTGGAGACAGACCTGGTCGCAGGGCCACGTTCATGCACTGCAGAAGAGCTTCAGAGGCGTTGATGCAGGCCTCAATACCTTTAGGGGAGGTCAGGTCTCCCTCCTGCAAGGCCCTGATGTGACCCTTTGACAAGTCCATGTAGTTCTACATGAGAAAAGACACACTAAAGTTATCAACAAAGCTTATTAATCGAGCTGTTATATTAAGACTAATGTACCTGCTGGACTTAAAAATAAAAACATCTATGTTCTAAATAAGTCTTATGCACAAAATACTTGCTACCTTTCTGTAGATTAGCTCAATTCTTCATTATGCTACTTCATTTGGTGAAGATATTATAGAAAACACTTAAATGTGCTCCTAACCACTAAGAACTGGATCTCGTCCAGCAGTTTGCCGTTGTTGGTGTTGCTGATCTGGATGAGGCGGTTGCTCTGTGAGATCTGGTCCATCTGCTCCTTGACGCTCTGGAGCATCTCCTCATAGCTGCTCAGCTTTCCCTCGATGGTGTCCACCTCTGCCAGCGCCTCATCCAGCAGCTGCATCAGGATGTTGACCTGCTTTTCTGACGCCATGATGGACTGAATGTTGGCCTTAAAGGAAGAACAGACAAAAGAAGCAGCATTAATAAATGGTTTATTTCACAATTAACCACCCAGTTAGGTTCAGATCACTGAACAGGAACACCACTTTTAAAAATGAAAAGATGATCAGAGTTTCTTACTTAAATTCACTAAAGCTGCTCTACTCACCCCATCCAGAACCTGCAGCTCCTTGAAGAGCTTCTCTGCAAAAGCCTCAGCATTGGAGATAGCGTACTCGCACATCTCCATCATGCCCTCAATGTCCTGTTCTTCGCGGGTGCTGAGCTCCTGGTACTCGTCCAGAGCATCCTCGTCGCCCCCGGCAACACTCTGGCTCTCACCGCTTGGCACTGACTCTAAGCCCCCGGGAAAAAGAGGAAAAAGTATGTCCAAACCATAAATACAAGGGTGAACTCAATGACACCTGCTGGCTATCTTCAGACTCTGCATCAGGTCTTTTGAACTTCTTGAAAGGACAACTACAGACACAGTTGGATTCAGTAACTGGGAAGGCTAGCTGAACAGTTTTTATTGTTTTAAAACGGCTGTAAAGTCGTACTTATTTACTACCAGTGATGAAAATGGAGCATGAATACGAGTACAGAATGAAACACAATCTTAGGTAGCGGCAAAAGGTTGAAAAATACAAAGCAAGTCCACATTCTGGAGAGTGGATGTGCTTCATCATATCTGCTCTGTCTGATAAAATAACTACAGTTGACTGCAACTGCACTTTGCTGAGGATCAATTAAAAATAACGTGGGCTACAAGTGTTGGTCAAACCAGAGAAAGGATTCATTAATGAATATATGTCAGTAAATAATCCTATGAATTAAGGTGAAATGGACAAAATAAAGAAGCCAAAAGTGAAGTAAAAACATGATCTAAATGTGTGTTATAATTATTGAAAAAAAAAAAAAAAGAATCATGCCCACCCACATTTAATGACATAATTCAAACAGCAGGAGCTTTAGGGAGGTGAGAGTCTCTAATGAGAATGGCGGTCTGAGGTCATGAAAATACAATGGAGAGGAGTGAGGAGGGGGGAAGTTAAGTCCTACCAACCTTCCGCTTTAGGAAGTTCTGGCCAGAGAAAGTTTAAGAGAGAAAAGTGAGAATAAAGAAGAATTTAACACAGAAAACCATAGCACAAACTAAGACACAAAGAAGAGGCTGAATATTTTCAAAAAACATGCTATTAAGAAATAAAATCAAACAAAATCCAGGACAGATTCCCACATCTGGGCTAAATTAGAAAACCTGAAACATGAGCAGCACACTCTAGGGTCAATGCTATCAGTGTGAGAGAAAAAGACACGCCTTGAAACAAATATAATCAAATCACGGAGAGGCATGCGTTCGCAGTGGTGGATAAGGATGGAGCGTTTACACACCTTCCAGCAGCTGAGAACTGACATTCACAAACTCCACCTTCTTCCTCAAATAACGTTGGTTCAGCTTCCAAATGCAGGAAATGAAGGAGTTTTTTTCAGCCGTACTGCTGGCCAGCCACCGGTAAACCTTCTCAAAATGAAGGTCGAATTCAGGATTTTCCTAAAGCACAAGAGTTAAACAGAGAGTACATTAGTCCTGACTTTGGGATAAAGAGGACTTTTACAATAACTGAACACATCTGTAGGCGAAAACAAACAAATGACAGGAGAAATGCACTATTTCTCTGACCTTGCTTGCATCTTTGGCGTCTACTTCTGTCAGGTCTCGGAGCTCCCAGGTCTGCTGTCGCTTGTAGAAGTCCCCTTTGTCAGATTTCTTAACTTTTACCACTTTCACCTGGACAGGCCTCTCTGTGGTGACTGGAGAAAACACAAACATTATTTTAACAATGTTTATCTTTCATCATTAGCAGTCACTTGCAGATGCTTCCGTGGTTATTGCCTAACTTACCTGTTGCACAAAGGAAGCAGTTCTTCTTTTTCTTCCCGGCTTTGCAGACATTAACAATGCCGAGAAGACGCTCGTCATTGGGTGTGAAGATGTCCCTCTGGAGAGCATGCTTGATGGCTGTCATGGTGGAAACTGTCATACAGAATATAAACGGTACTTATTATTGCGATCACGAGGGACACAGGTTCACTATACGTGCATAAACCATAGACTGCAGCATAAACTATAGGCTGTAGATAAAGAACTGAAGGCATTAACACTTGTCAGAAAGTTTTATTTACATGCCATTAAGCTTAAACAGCACTTTCTGGATGTTGTGTAGTCAACCAATGTAATTTAAAACCACTATTTAGTTCTCTTAAATATTGGACATTCATTTACTCAAGCCACTCTAAAGAAAATGAGCAGGTACATCTACCTAAAATGAACTTAATTCCATATTTAAAATTACGATTGTACTTTTGTTTGAGAGTGCTGGGACAATAAATTATGTCATGTTGGCATATATTGTAAGAGGTTATCCAAACACAGGGGTGAAGTGTACCTAAGTATATTTACTTATGTATTGTATTAGAGTACAATTTTGAACTACTTGTACATTATTCGAGTATATTCACTTCATGCTTCTTTTTACTTTTAACCATTTAGAGGAAAATCTTGCACTTTTTACTCATCTAAATATGTCTGACAATGTTAGTCACTTTACAAATTAAACTGAATAACACAATATATTATCAATAAATAAATTATGTTGTTATATTGTAGATTAAGAGATCATTTTATTGATCCCAGAGGAAAAATTCACAAGCTGTCAAACAGATAAAATCATAAACATCTAAATACACTATCTACCAAGTGCAAGATTGTCAAAGATATCTATTCATGACAATTTTAATAATCAATTCATAAAAATGGTTCCAGCAAAAATAGTGAAGCATTGTCAAACATCCTCTAACTCCACCCTCTAAAATGTGAGGTTTTGCTGCTTTTCTTTGGAATATTTAACTGTAAACTAAGCATTTTTGGTGTTTAACGGGTAACTTGATAGCCATGTGGTTTGGGTAGATAACACATGGGGACAAATTCTCTGAGCAGCGAATGCCTGCTTTGATTTTGCAGCTGGCTGGACATTTGCTGTGTGTCATTCTGCTTCTCCCTTTACCCATAATGCCTGTCTTCCTCCACTGACACTTGCAAAAACAGGTTTAAAAAAAAGCTCAAAAAATTTTGGGTATGTTGGACGGTTGTAACAAAAAAAAACAAAAAAACAAGCAATGGGGCAATGTAACTAAGTACATTTACTCAAGTGTTGAAATTACCATTTTCTGCTACTTTATACGTCGACTGCACTATAATTCACAAGAAAATATTGTGTTTTTTTACTCCATTGCATTTATTTGATAACTTTGCAGATTTATTTCAGTAATGCAAAATATGAACAGTCAATAAATAATAATGTAATACTGTTGATTAATGACCAAATTTATTGATCCCTAAGGCAAAACACAAAAACTACCCAGCAGATAAACTATATAAAGTAGTTAAATCACCTTTACAAGTTCCACCAGTACAGGCATGAACACATTAATGAATCAATAATATAGCGTTTTCTGAAATATGACATTGTGAATTACATTTTTTGTATTTTTCATGCTAACACTTTCGTACTTTTACTTGAGTATTTATTAAAATGCATGACCTTTACTTGTAGCACAGTAATACTGCACTGTGCTTTTGGTGCCTCTACTTAAGTCAGTACTTCTTCCATTTTTTTGTCTAAACGCATGTAAATTCTCATTTGGTGAGTTTTTTCTTTTAATGGTTACTAGCTTACAAGACATCAGAGCTGTTAACTCTGCGACCAGAAAGGATATCACATAATAGACAAAACCGCATTCAAAGTTGAACTCATTTTAACAAAACAAGCAGAAGCCCTTCCTAAAATAAATACACTGATGTCCTCTCTGTCGGTTAGCCTGCTGCCAGCTAACGTTTCTGCTAGCAGGACGCAGCTAGCTGCTGCTAGCATCAAATACGCTCGTAGCACAAACCAGGCAAATGGTGTGACTCATTGAATAATTGACTAAACAGCTGTCCGTTTGTCAAGTCGAAGGGGGCTCTATCTGTGTTTTAACGGAGGTAAACATATTAAGGAGCGGTTACCTTGTATTTATCAGTCCACCAGCCCTGCGAAGCGCCGCCCTCCCACTTCCTGGTTCTCAGACGGAGCGGTCATGTGACATCCACGCGCACCCGCAGAGACCATAGATATGTATAATAAAGC